GAAAAAAAGAAACAGACTGGACATCATTAGCCGAGGAGATTTAAGATTAACCCTTACAAAATTGACGCCAAATGTTGATAATTTATTATTAAAGCATCAGGTTCATCCTTCTCACTAAAAATATTGACTTATTGCTTATGTTATTTTATTTCTAGTTTATTTTATGTTCATTGGTGTCTGACTAATAAATGCCCGCATTGGGAATAAGTGCCCGCATTGATTTTTTTAAAGAACCCCCCTTTATAGAAAATATTTTTTTTTTAATTATTCTGAAAATTCAGGTATAGGTACACACTAAAATTCGTTAATTTTTTGCCTATTTTTAGATAACTTAAACGTATAAGAAGCGGAATTTAATCAAACTAACAGTGAAATTATTGTAGAACACACGTTTATGTTATAATTAATAAACGAACTCGCTTATTGTACTATTTTAAGTAAAAAACTTTTTTTTTAATTATTTTTCACTATTTTTTTTATTTTATCCCTCTTATTTTTTTTCAATGCGGGCACTTATTCCCAATGCGGGCACTTATTGGTATTTAATGTTACGTATATTTTACATAACAGATTCAAAATTTTATTTTGAGTAGTTTTAATTTAAATTCAATTAATAAATGTATAAGTTAACATGTGTTTTTACTTTAAGTTTTTAACACTAAACTTCACTTCAGTTAGAAATTTACAGGAAATCAATATCAGGTAAGTAGAAGGTCTACCCAACACGGAAAAACATGGCAAGGGGTCTACGACACAAAAAAGTTTGGGGAACTCTGCTCTAGGACCTCGAAGTTGCCCATTTATTATTTCAGCCACATTAAAAAGTTTTTCGCGAAGTTGTGCTTCAGCTGTTATTGGACCAGCCCCATAAACCATCCCTTTAAGTTCTCCCCAATACCAGAAATCCATCGGATTGAGGTCATGAGATCTTGCTGGCCATTTTCGCCTCTAAAAATGTGTGGTGGTGCCCCATCATGAAGAAACCACATGTTCTGTCTCCGTTGTAATGGCATGTTGTCTAAGGTCTGGTAGGTTATTGGCTAGAAAGCTAAGGTATCCTTCTCCTAACAACTTTGGGGGTAACTCGAAAAAAATAAAAATCGCTCAAAATTTTCTTTTCGTAGTGGTTAAATACTTGGAGTTAGGATTGCAGGTGGAGGAGAAAGAACATTAAACTTTTTGTGATACACGTTCGTAGCTAATTTTTTTTTAAGATCGGCTAACTTGTTACGAACTGATGCCAGCGGAGTAGAGTCAACTTACTTACTTATTTTTGTAGTTATAGTTGAGGCGCCTTTTCATTTGTATTCAAGAATAAAAAATATGTCAATACATTTTTACAAATATTCTAGATTCCCTGTTCTATAAGTCTAAGTCAAACAAGCATAATTAAATCATGATCATAAAAGTGCTAATAGCAAGCAAGTTGCGGTTTGTTTGTATGCGATCCAGGTATAGAAATGATGTCATTCTAGCACCATAACCAGAGCTTTTACGACTTTGGGCGAATTATTGATCAATGCTGACCGACCCTGGTCATTGCAATCAGTAGCGTAGAAGCAATGGGGTTTTCTGATACCAAAGTAGGGTATGACAGTAAGCAGTCTCTCTTCTGGCTTCTTGAGTAGTTTTGGGCTCGCGGAAAAAACAGCAGTTGAATAATTCGCGGAATTATTTCGCTTTCCGGTACGGAATGTATACTAAGTGACATATAAATCCGAACACCCAGTTTAAATGGTTTTATTTTAATAAAATTTTGTATAAGTACTTAATGAAGCATGATAAGTAAATGATAAAAATTTCAAAATGACACTGCTTTAAAGCCCTTTGACCTTTAATAATGTGTGGATGCACCCTGATGTGCTACGCATTCTCCAACGCGCCTAGGCATGCTTCTCATCAGGTGGTCAATGTCCTCCTGTGGTATCTCATTCCAGGCAACCACCAACTCCTCTCGAAGTGCTTCTAGAGTCTGAGGAGGACGTTGCAAATTGAGCAATCTCCTACCCATCATATCCCACACGTGCTCAATTGGGGACAAGTCGGGAGATCTTGGTGGCCATGGTAACAATGTGACATCATTATGTTGAAAGAAGTCTATTGTGACTCTTGCAACATGTGGTCGGGCATTATCTTGTTGGAAAGTTGGATCTGCCAGGGTGTCAAGATAGGGTAAAAGATGGGGTTCTAGAACTTCGTGGATATAACGCTGCGCGTTCATGTTACCTCTGATGAAGATTAAAGGTGACCTGGAACCATAAGCTATAGCACCCCAAACCATAACTCCAACAGTGTGATGAACATGTCTTTCAACAAAAAACTGTGGATTCCTCCTTTCACCACATCGCCTTCTAACCCTGGCACGACCATCATGCATGCCTAAACAAAATCGAGACTCGTCACTAAAGACAATACTGTTCCATTCCTGATCCCAGAGTGACCGTTGTCTGCACCACTCAAGGCGATTACGTCGGTGTTCTCGAGTTAAAGGGAGGACCCAGTGTGGCCGGTATGAAAACAAGCCAAAACTTCTCATTCGTCGGTAAACACTTCGCATGCCAATAGGTCTTCCGTGTTCTGCAAACCATTCATTTGCAATGGATCTGGTAGTGGAGAAACGGTCCCTTAAGGCCAATAATCTTAGGCGGCGATCTTCACGGTCCGTTGTTCTACGGCGGCGTCCAGTGCCCCTTGCTCTTTGCGTACGGCCTTCTCGAAGCCATGCCTGACAACACCTAACCACAGTGTCTACACTTCTTTGCACTCTAACTGCAATTGCCCGAAAAGAAAGTCCAGCTTCCCGAAGTCCCACTATACGGCCCCTATCAAACTCACTAAGTTGACGAAATCGTACAGGTCTCCGTACTCTAGGCATCGTAACCGATCGTAAAGGATGTCAAGAACCAAAATCCGCCAACGTTGATTCTTTACTGCGGCTGAAGTATTCATTTTTAGAGTGAATTAAAAAAAAGCACTATAAAAACCGGAATGTCCAACTGATAAGGCTGAAAATTCTTTCACTTATTTACAGTAAGATAAATACATTCACCAACTTTTATTAAAATAAAACCATTTAAACTGGGTGTTCGGATTTATATGTCACTTAGTATACATTAGTAGTGGTCGAACAATCATTTCACTACATTTTCATAACTCTCCTGTCATAGATAGTTGTCAATAGAATGATTGTAACATTTAATATTGATTTGACTAGTACCTGTATACTTAAAGAAAATTTGTTGTATTAATATAACTTAACTTCTGTTAAAACCCAAGCATAAGTGTACACTTTTTTGGGTATATTATGTTCATTGGACATTGCAGTTATTGATACGAAAACTTCGTAATTGGACCAATCAACATTATTATTATTATTAATAATAATAATAATAATATTTATTCACTCAATGTACAAAGATAACAAACAATATGAGTAAATAAATATAAAATCAAAACAGGCCCAATAGAAGGCATCGCCTGTACATGGACCAATAATTTAAGTTGAAACTGTAGAATGCAAATGACAAAAAGGACAAAAATTAGCTACATACAGTTGATGTTCGTATTTACGAGTTTATGAATTTCAGTCCTAGATATAGAATGTAGCCACTTTTTTAAATTTCTTTTGAAACAATTTCCGAAACGTAAATCTTTTAAGTCTTTAGGTATAATTTCATAAAATTTAGGCGCTAAATAGAGATATGATCGTTGCATTATAGATTTATGCGGTTGAGGAACTACTGTGCCACGAATTTTGTACCTGGTATAATGATTATGTTTAATTTTTTGGTCGGTGTTTACAAATTTATGGTAGTGAGTGATACTGTGTAAGAAATAAAGCTGTCTTATATCATACATTCGAACATCTGCGTATAATTTTTCAGTGGGATAAAGTTTCGGTTTTTAAAATATGATTTTTAGAATACTTTTTTGAAAAACATCTAAATTATAGATGTGAGATGTGAGGAACATGCAGCTCCCCATGCTAATATACCATATGTGAGATGAGGCTCAATCAGTGCATGGTATAATGTTCGAAGATATTTTTCTGTCAATATATTCCCAAGGTATTTAATTTTGTAGGATACAAATCTAACTTTCTTTAAAATATAATTGACATGGATGTCCCATCGTAAGTGAGGATCCAAGACCACTCCAAGGTATTTTATGTTGGGCACTCTATTAATTTGCACTTTTTGATCATTAATATTGAAGGAGAAATTTGTGTAATTTGGCAGATGTCTAGCATAAGATCCAAATGGTAAAAAATGTGTTTTAGAGTAGTTAATGCTTAATTTTCTACTGTTAAACCACCGAATAATTTTGATAAAATCATTTTCAATTACATTTTTCAGATCAGACCAGTCAGTGCCTTCATATAATATTGCAGTATCATCTGCAAAACTAGTTATTTTGCCAACACAATTAATTTGGAAAATATCATTTAAATATATATTGAATAACAGCGGCCAAAGACAGTTCCTTGTGGGACACCACACTTAATATACATTTCTTTACTAAATGATCCTGATATCTGCACAGATTGTGGGCGATTTGACAAATAACGTTCGATCAGTGAGTACGCGTTTCCTCTGAAACCAATTCTCTCCAATGCTTCTAATAATAATTTGTGATTAACTGTGTCGAAAGCTTTCTTTAAATCAACAAAAATGCAGATTGAAGGGATTCTGTTATCAATATTTTGATGTATTTGGTTTACAATTTTAGTTATTGCGTCCGATGTAGCCTTCCCTTCTGTAAATCCATATTGATTTTCACTTAAAATTTTGAATTTTGTGAGGTATCGAATCATTCTAGTAGATAAAACTTTTTCAAAAACCTTTGCTACACTGGATATTATTGATATTGGTCTATAGTTGTTAACATCTGTTTTTTTTCCTGATTTATGTATATTACCTTTTTTTAAAATTGAGGGATATATGCCAGATTCAAAGCATTTGTTGAGATATTTTGATGTTTCGATACTTTTTGCACGTCCTCTATATCCCATGTACGCAATTGCATAGAGTTAATGGACGATCTCTTCCAAAGAAAATTACCTCTGATGTGTTGTATGTGCTCATCATACTGCGACTTGCTTCTAACCAGTTCGAATCTAGGCGATCCAGCCGTCTGGAAGCTATGCGTCCGATATTCATTGTACCACTCGGAACTGGAGCTGGTTACCCTGCTGCTGTTGCTGTCTCTCTCCCACTCTTTAGTTTCCTTATGGTCGTCCCAATCTAGTTGCTCGTTGGAGGGAAACCTCCCAGCGAGCGAGGAGGAGGAGGAGGTTTTCGAGGCATGCTGTCCACCTATTTCGATACAATTAGCTGAGGAATGTGACTCGTGGGCGATTACATTGCCAGATTCAGAAAATTATGTAATTTTTCACAAATTTTAATAGACTTTGTACTGAGGTAAAAGTGGCTCAATGCGTTTCAAATGAGGTGTATCATCATCCCTCAAAAGGACAACTGTTTATTTAATAATTTTATTGCTAAGTTGAAAAAATGCATGTCCCTAGTCTTTTTCAAAAATCCCCTTCGATTTTGTTGTACCCCTAATTTTTTCATACTCAAAAGCTAGGAGAAGTGGACTCATAACCAACCCACTATACAGCGTGTCCCAAATTCGCGTCTCTATACAGGGATCTCGGCTCCTGTTATACCTACAGCAAAGATTAAAAGGGGGAAGTTTTAGAGCAAATTTAGTGCATTCGATAGCCGGTGTCAGATTTACGATCGGTCAACTGGTTTTGGAAATATCGGCGAAAAAGTGGAATTTTGTTTTTTGCCAGTAAATCCGAAACGGTCAATTTGACATCTGTCAAAATGTGACATTATTCGGAATTTTTTCAAGGCAAATGTCTCAATTGTCTTTTGTTTTCCCGCAACCTGTCTCGGCTTTCATTTTTCTTATGGCCGCCGTGTTGGATTTTTCGATTTTTGAAAAGTGCGTAAAATTTCCAGCCTAGTGATGTCTCGCAAGTGCATAAAATATTGGAGTATCTTCACACGTAATGTTATGTATTCATTTTTTTTTCTAAGCGAGGCCATGATTTATTTGTCAGAAAATAAAGTTAATACAAGGGATGTCTTTTAAGTTTTGCATATGGAAATAAAACAACACTGTAGGTAGTTTTAAATGACTCTATTGTTTTTCGAAGTATTCTCCACAAATATTAATACACATCTGCGTAACCAATTTTCGAAGCACTTATTCCACTCGTTTGCTGGCATTTTTGAATGCGTCAACTGCTTCTTCTGGTGACTGGAACCTTTGACCACGCAGTCTGTTTTTAATTTTCGGGAAAGTAAAGAAATCGTTAGGACTTAGATGGGAACTATATGGAGGTTGGTCCAATAACACTGGACAACAAATTTTAGTTTTTTAATTGTATCTTGTGGGAAAACTGCACTTCTTTGTTAATTTTGGGGCGCTGAATCCGAAAATGACAACGAAATAAAAAAAATAGTTGCGGTTTAGAAAAAAAACTTTTTATTTTTAAGAATATATTAAAAAAAGTAACAAGATTCATATACTTATAAGAATCACTATATGCGCTGTCTTTTTGCTGTTCTTTTATGGATCGTTTCTGGAGCATGTCTAAAAAGAGTCCAACAGTAGTCTGCAAGCATGGAAGGATTCCACTTTCCTTGGTACCTTTTTTCCATTGTTGAAATATCCTGATGAAAACGTTCGCCGTGCTCATTACTTACGGCTCCGCAGTTGTCAGGAAAAAAGTCCAGGTGTGAGTGTAGGAAATGTATCTTAAGAGACATATTACAGCCCATCTTTTGATACGATGACAGCGTATTTTTGACAAGGGTTTTATAGTTGTCAGCTTTTCTATTTCCCAAGAAATTAGTGACCACCAGTCGGAAATCATTCCAAGCAGTTTTTTCAATACCTGTTAAAGTGTTTTCAAACTGTGTATCTTTCAAAATATTTCGAATCTGTGGCCCAACAAAAATACCTTCTTCAACCTTTGCGTCACTTAGTCTTGGAAATTTCTGACCCAGGTATTGAAAAGCTGACCCATCTCTATCTAATGCCTTGACACAGTTTTCCATTAGGCCCAACTTGATATGCAGTGGTGGTAATAATTTTTTTTTCGAATCTACTAATGGCATATGCTGTACATTTTTTTGACCTGGCTCTAGGAATTGACGAACAGGCCAGTTTTGTCTGGTGTAATGAAGTGCCTTTGCCCGACTGTCCCTTCACTCAAAAAACAGCAAAACTTTGTGTAGCCTAGCTGCAGCCCAAGTAAAAGTGCAACAACTTTCAAATCGCCACAAATATGCCATTGGTGCTCATCGTATTTTATGCATGTCAATAGGTACTTCATATTGCCATATGATTCTTTCATGTGAACTGCATACCCTACAGGAAGAGATGGTAAAATATTTCCAATATGCAATAACACTGCCTTTAAACTCAATGTTGAACTGTCTATAAACAATCTCCATTCTTCTGGGTTATAGTTTATATTTAAAGCCGCCAGTAAGCCGTTAATATTACTGCAGAAAACCAAGTTATTCTCCATATTGAAAAATGGTTCTAAATCTTTGTGGCGTTTACGAATAACACATACCGAAACATCGTCTTCTAACAAGTTCCACTGCTGCAGTCTTGATCCAAGTAACTCTGCCTTACATTTTGGAAGTTCTAAATCTCTTACAACATCATTTAATTCTGACTGTGTTATTTTGTGCGGTTGGTGGCATGACGTGCTCGGTATAAAATCAGGATCTCTTGACGTTGATGGCATATCTTCTTCCTCACGAATCACTCGATCGCCATGATCTGATTCGTTTTCTGATTCGCAAGTGTAGGATTCTGGGGGTTTTGGAATAGGATTTTCGTCACTGTGAGGCACAGGTCTCATCGCAGATGGTATGTTTGGGTAGTTAATAACCGATTTTTTTTTCTTGGACATACCTGTGGCTTGTCCAACACAAGGTACCATGCAAAAGTAACAATCATTAATATGATTTGTAGGCTCTCTCCAAACCATTGGAACAGCAAAGCGCATAGACCGTTTTTTGCCATTTAACCAGCTCCTCAGACTTGAAGCACATGTATTACAGCAGATGTGGGGTGCCCACTGTGTGTCTTGATCACCTAGTTTACAACCGAAATAAAGCTGATATGCCTTTGTTATTAGTGAAGTAATAGACCGTCTCTGAGACGCAAAAGTCACATCACCACACACGTAACAAAACTGATCTTTCGAGACATCTTGAATGAACGCTGTCAGCCAACTGAGGAAAAAATGGCTAATATAAAACAATATAATGTACACGTATGTATAACGTAACACAATCATGCCGATTACATCATCTTTCCTTGCCGAATATAAAAATGTAGGACGTGCATTCTTGTGAATTACAGTATATTAACACTGTCACAGCAGGAACACATATAATTACCGTATCTCTAAAACTTGAACTAATATTGAAAAAATAAGTTTCATTCCGGTTTTAGCACATTAAAAATAGTAATATTTTGTTGATTTTATTTAGGATATTTTTTGGCTGTTGATCAGTGTTGTCAAACATGTATGGATGCAAATGGACGTTTGTTCAAGTGTAAAATAAATTTACGACGATTTTTCTGACTTGTCTTTTTCATAGTTGGGAATTTGCCCCTAAACATTTGACTTGTTGAGAAGTCGATATTAACGTTGATATTCTATTGAAAAGTCAAGGCGTTTATGTGTTTTTGTATGTCTTACTCATTAGCGTTATTTTCTGACAAATAAATCATGGCCTCCTTAGAAAAAAACTAACACATAACATTACGTGTGATGATATTTCCGTGATACTCCAATCTTTTATGCACTTGTGAGGCATCACTATACTGGAAATTTTACGCTCTTTGCAAAAATCAAAAAATCCAATATGGTGCCCATAAAGAAAATTAAAGTTAAGGCGGTTTGCTGGAAAACAAAAGACGATTGAGACATATCATGCTATGTTATTTTTCTTAAAAAAATGTCCCAATAATGCCACATTTTGACAGCTGTCAAATTAACCGTTTTGAATTTACCGGCAAAAAACAAATTCCGCCATTCTCGGTTAATCTGAAGCCGGATATACAGGGTTTGTTCGGAAAGTGATAGGAATCATTTTATTCCGCCATGACTGTACTTCTACTTCGGTAGAGAGCGTTCCTAGCTAACGAATGAGCGGCTGGTCAGTTGTCTCCGAGCACTTGGAGAGGCAGGACAGGCATTTTCGCGTAACGTGTTTCTGTGAGTAGTGCAAGCCGAAAATGCAGCGTTCGTTATAGCATAGGTACGCGATTAAATTCTGTGTGAAACTCGGTAAATCTGCGACAGAGACGTTTGATATGATCAAGCAGGCTTACCCAGGTGTTGCTTTAGCATGAAGTGGTGTGTTTCGGTGGCACCAGGCCTTTTTAGAGGGCCGGGAAGAGCTCGCTGATGAAGACCTTCGACTTCGACAAACACCGATAATGTGACTCGTGTGCGCAAAGTTTTGAACTCAGACCGTCGACTTAGTATTCGTTTAATTGCCCAGATGTGAAATTTACCAAAATCTGTGGTTCGTGACATTGTGACACCGCTTTTGAACATGCGCAAGGTGTGCGCGAAGATGGTCCCAAAAGTGCTCGCTGACGACCAGAAATTGCGGCGAGTGGAAGTGTGCCAAGAAAATTTGGACATGTGTGAAAGTGACCCTTAATTTTTGAATAACGTAATCACAGGTGACGAGTCGTGGATCTTTGAGTATGATCCCGAGACAAAGACGCAATCTTCCGAGCGGCACACGACGGCGTCTCCTCGCCCAAAAAAGGGAAGAATGAGCAAATCCAAAGTGAAAACGATGCTCATTGTCTTTTTTGACATCAAAGGCACCGTCCACCATGAATTTATTATTATTATTATTCTTATTATGATAATTGAGATGAGCAGAGTGCACAGTACTATAAGCGCATGCAGTAAATATAGTGTACGGACACGTAACACAAATACATCAAATAGAAAAAAATAAAAAAAGACAGTTCATAGCTATAAAGTTTGTACACTCCTCCAGCAATCATACTGCACTTTGAAGCTATTAACTGAAGTAGCACCAACCACACTTTCAGGTGAACTATTCCAGGTGTTGAATATGCGGTTGGGAAGAAACCACTGTCGGACTGTTGTTTTAAATGGCTCCTTATGCAGTTTGAAGCTGTGTCCGCGTAGATTGCTGCGCGACAGACGGTATAGATGCATGAGGTTGGTGCCCATCAAACCATGAAGTATCCTGAACGTAACTATAAGATCGCCACGAAGTCTTCGCTCAGAGAATGAGGTCAGGTTGAATAATTCAAGGCGATCTTCATAGCTTGGTCTTCGTGCTCCAAAAGGGATACGAGTAGCCCGACGCTGTACTGATTCGACGAGATTTCTATCGCGCAGAAGCACAGTGTCCCACACCGGGCCAGCGAATTCAAGAATTGGCCTCGCGAATGCCTTGTAAATGTAGGCGCAAGTGTTGACATCGGATCCTTTGAAAGACCTCTCCAGCATGTATAGAAGTTTCTTGGCTTTTGATGTAACGTGGTGAATATGCTCTGACCAGGAAAGACGATCGTTGACTACAACGCCTAGATCAGTGTGGCTGGAAACTGCTTCGATGTTGTGATCAGAGATCTTGTATGTAAATCGCGGATTTGTCTTCCCGAGGTGAAGGACACAACACTTAGTTAGATTTAAGGGTAAAAGCCAACTGACTGACCATTGACAAACAATATCAAGATCTCGTTGAAGCATAGCAGAATTTACGACAGTATTGTACATCTTGGTGTCGTCGGCATAAGCTGAACATGTGGAGGAAATCAATGCGGGCAGGTCACTTGTATACAGAAGGAACAGCACTGGCCCCAAGACAGAACCTTGAGGAACTCCACTTGCTACATGATGAAGGTGAGACTGGCTATCACTGACGCGCACAGAGAAAGTCCTCCCGGTGAGAAAAGCGTTAATCCACAGTAACAACTCGCCTCTTATTCCCATACATTCCAACTTAAACAGAAGCCTTCTATGTGGTACGCGATCGAAAGCCCTAGAAAAATCTAAGTAGATTATATCAACAGGAGTCTTTGTGTCCAGATACTGAGTCCAATCGTTGAGAGAGTGGAGAAGGTTGGTCATTATTGATCGACCAGGGAGAAATACATGCTGATTCTTAGGGATAAGGTCATTTTCGAAAGCAACTGACAGAAGCTTATCTAATATGATTCTTTCAGCTATTTTGGCGGCGATAGGAACGAGACTTATTGTTCGATAATTTTTAGCGGAGGATTTGTCGCCCTTTTTGAATACAGGGGTAACAGAAGCACTAAGCCAGCATGAGGGTAGGGTATGAGATCTAAAAGACGATGTGAATATCAAGCTTAATGGTAGGGCCAGTGCTGAAACGCAGTTTTTAAGTACAGCAGCCGTCATCCCATCTTTACCAGGGGAGGAACGGGTCTTCAGATTTCGCAGGTGCATTAATTTATTTTTATTCCTCCTGGACAAACCGTCAACGCCAAGTTTTACGTGGAAGTGCTCAGGAGACTCAAACGAAGGGTCAGTCGGGTCCGACAAGACATCGCAGTTGCACCACGACAACGCCCCGGCTTACACCGCCTTTCTTATGAACAGCTACCTGACCAAGGCCGGCATCCCAACGCTTCCGCAGCCGCCCTACAGCCCAGATGTGCCCCCCCCCCCGGACTTTTTTTGTTTCCTCGCCTGCAAAAGGCCGATGAAAGGCAAGCATTTTGAGACGACAGAGGGGATCCAAGCAGCATGCACCGCGGCTCTGAAGGCTATTCCGGAGAAGGCCTTCCAAGACGCCTTCAATGCTTGGAAATCGCGCTGGCAGCGCTGCATCGACGCAGAAGGAGCCTATTTTGAAAGTTTTTAAAGAATTGTAACGATTGGCTCAATACATTTTTTTAAATCGACTCAATAATCTTACTTTCCAGACAAACCCTGTAGAAAGCATTAAGTTTCCTCTAAAACTTCTCCCCATTCAACCTTTGCTGTAGGTATAACAGAAGCCGAGATCCCCGTATCGAAAAGCGAATCTGTGACACCCTGTATACAACAGCTAATTCTACCAAATCTATCGAATTTATCCCTCGTACAAACCGTCAGTTTGGGTGACGTAAGCGGAATCCTCCAGGATCCGCTCTTCAGAAGGAGTTCGACTGGTGGACAGCTGTCTCACGGAAGTTGAGCTGCTCGAGGTGGAAGTCACGTGACGTACGGTCTTTTTCACTGTCACTTTTTCGAATTTCACTGTTTTCGCGCCAGTCGCCAGGTCGCCTTCGTGGGTCGTAGAGGTGTAGGTCTCCTGTAGGGGGAAATTGGGTTAGTTTTCACGGTAGGCGTCGAAGAGGATGTACCTTGAGGTTGTGGCACCGGAACAAAAGTCGGTTCTTAACATCTATATCTATGCCCCATGTGAAACCTACATCCGTTGATCACTCGTAACATGTTTGTTTTTAACACGCTTTTATAAGCTTGGCCTGTATCTATGTATCTACAGGGTGACTTCGAAGTTGAGTCATTTATTTTAACAGTGAGTAGATCTGATCAAAAGAAATGATTTTTTCCTTTACCATTTTTCTGGTAAAATTAAAGTAACAAAGTTATAGCCCTTTGGAAGTTTGAGTACCGCCCTGTCTCAATAATAATATTATGTGCTCGTGTTTGGCGACAACGGATATAATTCGCCTTATCGGTTCATCGCATCGGAAACAAAAAAGCGAAAGAATTTGGAACGATGTTTTTACAATTCTTTTATTCAGTTCAGTTATACATACAGTCAGTGTCAGTCGCGTGTGAATAGTGTCTGTTGCGTGGCTCAAACGAAATAAAAAATGGCACATGTTTATGCGGATTGAGTGCAACCAACCCCTCGTGCCTTTGTTAATGTAGTACAACGGGCTCGTGAATCAGGTGACTTAAGACCTCACAGGGTACCTCACGATCAAATACAGGTCCGCACTGAAATACTTGTCGGGAGGATACTTTATAAAACAAGGTAAAATTTTTTTTTTATTTTTACACACATATTTTGGTTTATCTTCCTTCTACAATCATTATCTGAAAATTAATGACTCAACTTCAAAGTCACCCTGTATATAACGGAATCTTTGAGCATAATTTTAACCAATTTCCAGAAGTTTGATTAACTCGAAACTTCGCACACGCATCAAGGGCCAACGACAACGCAATAAGTTGATAACAGTTTTGCATTATCTTTATTAGGACCGCCAGGATTGATGAATCCTTTTATAGATACTCTGTAGGGAAGTAAGAGAGATAGAGCTAGCGCGATCTGCGTATGTGTGCAAATCCGGACTTACTCTTTGTTGATTCGGATACTCGGCACAGCACAACCGGAGGCAGATACTTTTTCAAAGTAATGCATTTTTATCTTGTTCATTGCGAACGTTGCCATTAATCGTGAGTTGGGCTTCGATCGCCCACAAGATGCAAGGTTGTAGCTTATGTAGCTTAGTCGAAATTAGAACCCATTCGTCTTGGATCGCTGTTTCTTATCTCCAATGACGAGTCTGTATACGATTTTAAAATCGTAATAATCAAGTATGGTGCCCATGAAAAAATGAAAATGAAGATGAGGACAAGAGATGAAACGTCATGCCGAAATTCTGATTATGTCGCCTAGTAGAGGACAAAAGCAAACTCAGTAATAATTAAAAACCCAGTTTTCCCGTTTATTTTAACACTTCTAAGTGACGTTTTCTTATTTTCATCAACACGTAACTTTGCAACTCATTTAACCTACTTCGCATCTCATCCGTAAGGTTGTCACAATTCACAATTCAAAAATGTGTACGCTCAAAATAAAACCGTTATTTGGGCGTAGAGCATAAACTAACGCATATGTTCAACATGCATCTCAATTCAATGATATGTATACTAAGTGACATAATTTATATTATAAATCCGAACATTTCAAAATGATTGCACTGCTTTAAAGCCCTTTGACCTTTAATAATGTGTGGATGCACTCTGATGTGCTACGCATTCTCCAACGCGCCTAGGCATGCTTCTGATCAGATGATCAATGTCCTTCTGTGGTATCTCATTCCAGGCAACCACCAACTCCTCTCGAAGTGCATCTAGAGTCTGAGGAGGACGTTGCAAATTGAGCAATCTCCTACCCATCATATCCCACACGTGCTCAATTGGGGATAAGTCGGGAAATCTTGGTGGCCATGATAACAATGTGACATCATTATGTTGAAGGAAGTCTATTGTGACTCTTGCAGCATGTGGTCGGGCATTATCTTGTTGGAAAGTTGGATCTGCCAGGGTGTCAACATAGGGTAAAAGATGGGGTTCTAGAACTTCGTGGATATAACGCTGCGCGTTCATGTTACCTCTGATGAAGATTAAAGGTGACCTGGAACCATAAGCTATAGCACCCCAAACCATAATTCCAGCAGTGTGATGAACATGTCTTTCAACAAAAAACTGTGGATTCCTCCTTTCACCACGTCGCCTTCTAACCCTCTAACGCTGGCACAACCATCGCGCATGCCTAAACGAAATCGAGACTCGTCACTAAAGACAATACTGTTCCATTCCTGATCCCAGAGTGACCGTTGTCTGCGCCACTCAAGGCGATTACGTCGGTGTTCTCGAGTTAAAGGGAGGACCCAGTGTGGCCGGTATGAAAACAAGCCAAAACTTCTCATTCGTCGGTAAACACTTCGCATGCCAATAGGTCTTCCGTGTTCTGCAAACCATTCATTTGCAATGGACCTGGTAGTGGAGAAACGGTCCCTTAAGGCCAAGAATCTTAGGCGGCGATCTTCACGGTCTGTTGTTCTACGGCGGCGTCCAGTGCCCCTTGCTCTTTGCGTACGGCCTTCTCGAAGCCATGCCTGACAACACCTAACCACAGTGTCTACACTTCTTTGCACTCTAACTGCAATTGCCCGAAAAGAAAGTCCAGCTTCCCGAGGTCCCACTATACGGCCCCTATCAAACTCACTAAGTTGACGAAATCGTACAGGTCTCCGTACTCTAGGCATCGTAACCGATCGTAAAGAATGTCAAGAACCAAAATCCGCCAACGTTGATTCTTTACTGCGGCTGAAATATTCATTTTTAGAGCGTTAGTGAATTAAAAAAAAGCAGTATAAAAACCGGAATGTCCAACTGATAAGGCTGAAAATTTTTTCACTTGTTATTTACAGTAAGATAAGTACATTCACCAACTTTTATTAAAATAAAACCAATTAAACTGGGTGTTCGGATTTATATGTCACTTAGGTGGGCTCAGATCCGCATACCGGATAGCAGTTAAGAAATCGGACCGTACCATCTTTCCATATAGGCCGGTCAAATTCAAAATAAATGAGATTTTTCAGCTTTCAAAGAGTAAATAGGTACCCTACAAGTTTCATACGATCAGGCTTCCAATTTTATCTGTAAAAAGTTTTATTAAAAATACAAGCAAATATTGCATTTTCATAAAATAAATTTTTATTATCTACTGACTCTACAATATTATACAGGGCGGTTTCAAAGTTGAGTCATTTATTTTTACTGCTTGTAGTACTCGTCAAAACGAGTTGATATACCAAAAAGCACCTATATAAAAGTTGCATAATAAAAGGTTGGAAATTTAAAAAATATATAATAATAATTTAAGTTAAATTGTTTATGGGTATGATTCGCATAGTTTTCTTACCAATTTTGTCCCTGTAACTTTTTCAAATTAAATTGTTTATCGCTATGATTCGCATGATTTTCTTCAAAACAGCATATATTCTTCAATAATTGAGATATTGACATGAATCAAAAAAAGAACTGTTAAGAAAAGTTGAGGCTTTATTCATTAATCCAATGTTTCCACAGGGTGTTCAGAAATTTAGGGCAAAATGCACCTTTTAGTTACACCCTGTATAACAACAAACATTTTAAATTTTTTTACAAGATCTGCAGTCGATAATAATGACAATAAAATTACCTACAACTTGACGAAAAAATTAACCAAATTGATGCAAAGGTTAAACAATTATTTCAAATTCAATTTGAAGAAAATTTTGTTTGTTCGGTTAATTTTGCATGGCAGTATATCATCGTTATTATACTGGGTGACTTCGAAGTTGAGTCATTTATTTTAACAGTGAGTAGATCTGATCAAAAGAAATGTTTTTTTCCTTTAACATTTTTCTGGTAAAATTAAAGTAACAAAGTTATAGCCCTTTAGAAGTTTGAGTACCGGCCTGTCTCAATAATAATATTATGTGCTCGTGTTTGGCAACAACGGATATAATCCGCCTTATCGGTTCATCGCATCGGAAACAAAAAAGCGAAAGAATTTGAAACGCTGATCACGATGTTTTTATTCAGTCAATGTGTCAGTCGGTAACGCGTGAGTGAATAGTGGTGTTAGCTGCGTGGCTCAAACGAAATAAAAAATGGCACATGTTTATGCGGATCGGTTTCCCAATCGAGTGCAACCAACCCCTCGTGCCTTTGTTAATGTAGTACAACGGGATCGTGAATCAGGTGACTTAAGACCTCACAGGGGAGGGCATGCCGGTGCTCCAAGACCTCACGATCAAATACAGGTCCGCACTGAAATACTTGTCGGGAGGATACTTTGTAAAACAAGGTAAACATTTTTTTTATTTTTTTTTATTTTTACACACATATTTTGGTTTATCTTCCATCTACAATCATTATCTGAAAATTAATGACGCAACTTCAAAGTCACCCTGTATAAACATTTTGGGCATATAATATGATACTCCTTATGTAATCTTCTATGAAATAGAATTTACACCTAGGCATAAATGCAGTTAAACCTCAATGTCACATGTTCTTATTTGATGATATCATTATATCGCTCTTATCTATGTTTGCTATAGCAACCTCAATCCCAATCTCTCCTGAACCCTGTAGATCACGACTTGTTTACACGCACTTTGCCGAAAAACGGTTGTGTAACGTTTACTGTTTTCTGTTAGTCAACGTTAAAGGACTAACACACTTCACTTTCTCTGGTTCAAATTATTGCTGTTGTTGTATTCATGGGTTGAGCCCGCATGGCCTTGGTGGTCCAATTCGTGATGCAAATTGAAGCTCTCATTGGCGTATCAAACAGTATTAAAAATGCGGACGACAATGGAAAATGGTGTTGCAAGTTCAGAACTGCTGTGACAGCACTCTACATGCAGGAATTAAGAGTGACAAGTCGATCTCTGCAGGGACTTCCTTTCTGACGACATACCTGGAGATTATCACTGCATCATCCTCATTCTATACAAGGCCCAGTCTCGAGTATTGGTCACACGTTTGGGGTGCTGCATATTCATGCTCGAAGCTGTCCAGAGGAGGGCTGTGTGACTGATCAATGACTCTTCTCTTACACACAGTCCCTTCTACCGCTACGCCAAC